TGATTTGATTTGATATATATCCAGCCCATCTGATATATTCTACCACTCTGGATGGCTACCAACAAACATATATTCATTAAAATAACACAGAACCATTGACATAATCAATTTAATGGGATGTACCCATCCCTTTTCAGAAAGTAGAGGCTTCTTTCTCCTCACACCCCAATGGCCTGTTTCTCATATATATGCACAAACATTAATATCCTGCTCCAAAAGATCAGATACATTTAAATGGTTTTCAATGCATTCCTATGGGAAAGGCAGATTTGACCTGAGAACTTTTTGACTTGAGAACCGCCTTCCAATACGGATTAAGTTCTCAAGTCAAGACCCCACTGTAATCAATTTAATGGGATGTACCCATCCCTTTTCAGAAAATAGAGGCTTCTTTCTCCTCACACCTAAATGGCCTGTTTCTCATATATATGCACAAATATTAATATCCTGCTCCAAAAGATCAGACACATTTATTAACAATTAACAAGGGCTACCATACATATAAGGTGATCTATGGAAACCCCCCCCAAAACACTGTCCTAGAATTTCACAAAATAATTATTTTTGCTATACAATAAAATATGCTGCTCATGCTAGTGCAGCTTAAAGAAACCACTCTTATCTACTATCACCATGCAAACACACTAAAGTAGATACTACTGCCTTAGCTGACCTAAACAAATCAGTAGCAAAACTTGAATACATTGTGGAAGTAATACTCTTCAGACTGAAGAATAGATCAAAAGAAGGGTCCAAGTGTAAAAGAGAGGCGTTGTTCCATTAAAATATAGTAGGTACAGAAAGGTGGAGTATATGCAATATAGAATAATAAAATGAAATACAGCATATAGTTCAGGTAGATTTCTAACACAAGGGCTTCTCTAGATAACAGGTTTCATACAAAGTTTGGACTCAGGGTGATGCTGAGGTCTCCTAGGCTTCTTAACCTGGCAAAATGCAACATTAATGCTGAGAGCACCCTGCCAAAAGCAGCTCAGGACCACTGTGACAATCATAGGCTTGTCCCAAGTGATATCTTGCCCTACTTATTTAACAGATCACACTCTTAACCTGGTTTTTTGGACTGAGCAAGAGTGATCTTGGTGTGGAGAAGCTTTCTATAGCTCCACTGTCATAGACAGTTTACTACTTACAGTAACTGGAACCCAGATTCTCCACAGGGGTAGACCTGATTGTGACAATCCACCCCAGGAGGCTGATGGATCTGAATGTCTTCTCAGGAGGTGATCCTGTCAAAACTCTGGTTGACCTCTGGAATAGGGAAATGGCTTGGCCGGTGGATATGATCAATCTCAAGCTTCCCCTACCACAGAGTGGGTGCCAAATAAGCCCCTTGGTTTACGAAGGACATGGTAGTGATGGGGAAAGGATCATATCATACTGTATGAGCCTTTTTGAAGTCTCTCTCTCAGTCCCACCACCTTCCCAAGTCCTTGTTGTTCAAAAGCACATAGACAAGGGCACCATGGAAGTTGGGGCAGCTGTCCTGAAGTCAGCGGTTTTGGAGCACTCACCCCCAGAATTCCTCCTGCAAGATTCTGAGCAAACTTCAGAAGTCCATAAAATCTGAAAGTATCATCCTCAGTGTGTCCATTTAAAAATGAAAGTATAACTGACCATGGCTACATTTGAACATTTAGAGCAGATCCAGATCATCCTAGCTTTTTCAGGAGTGTAGGCCCATTTAAAACAGAACTTTTCAAAGGTCCCTTAGACCAATGGTCCTCAACCTTGGGCCTCCAGATGTTATTGAACTACAACTCCAAGAAGCCTTCGCCACCACCTCTGCTGGCCAGGATTTCTGGGAGTTGAAGTCCAAGAACATCTGGAGGCCCAAGGTTGGGGACCACTGCCTTAGACCACCAACCACTAACACTTCCAACCTACAGTAGTTCCAAAAAATTGCATGTGTCTGTTGCATTGGCCAAGATCCTCTCCAATATTCACACAGCAGAAATGTCCACATAGTATGTGGATTATACCATTGCATGAATTATTTTGCAACAGAAACTTCAAACTAGCAATCCTCATTGTTCAACTGCCTGCTCATGGGATCCATTATGCAGTGCACATGCTTGTCCAGACTCACATAAGCTGACAAAAGACTTGTGCAAATACATGTAGACTAACATCTTTACTGTGGCGGCTGCAAAAGTGGGACTGCTTCTGCAACAGGAGTTGTACAAGCACAATGACACGAGAACATGAGTCCATTGCATATGCTGCCATTAAACACTTTCTAGTTTTGAAAGATCACCACGAAGCTTTTCCTCCCATTTTCACATTTGCCTTAGCTTCCAAAGGTCTAAGGGACCTTTGAAAAGTGTTTTATATGGGCCTACACCCCTGGAAAAGACCCTGATTTTGGGAAAGTGTGAAAGCAAGAGAAGGGGATGACAGTGGACGAGATGGTTGGACAGTGTCATTGAAGCTACCAACATGAATTTGATCAAACTCCGGGAGGCAGTGGGAGACAGGAGAGCCTGGCATGCTCCAGTCATGAAGAGTCGGGGGTCACGAAGAGTCGGACACGACTTAACGACTAAACAACAACACTCCTGAAAAAGCTAGGATGATCTGCTCTAAATGTTCAAAGGTAGCCATGGTCAGTTATACTTAGCCTTCTCATCAACAGGATAAAAGAAGCTGAGCTCTGTCACTAATTGAAGGGAAGCTGAAACATGAGCAGTGATTAAAGAGAAAAGACTGGAACTGCTCAGCTGAAAGAAGGGGACATGACTAGGAAAAGCACAAGACTGTTACATGCTCACACTCAAGGATATGGAAAGTACACTGTGTCAGCTTAGTGACTTACTCAGCCAGTATGATCCTGTTTTTGGAGTCCCGTGGACTTCTGTTCATCTCAACCAATGGCAAACTAGAAAAATGTTTGCTAATTCAGTGCTCCTGGCTCTTGAGGCTGCCGTCTCTGTGGGATATGATGCCGCATCCTTTCCAAGTTAACAGTGCAAACACAGGATCTGGTAAATGATGTACATCGGTTGTTGATAGGTCCTTTCATCTTATCACACAATCTGTCTTGAGTTTGTCGAACTTTGGTCATTCTTATCTGGCTAAGCCAATAACCACCAGCTAGGCAGCACTTAAGAGTACCATGGTAAGGCGCTAGGACTGGATTGCATCAGGACAAGGATAGCTTCTTAAATACTGACATTACTATTTTGTGGAGGCGGAAGGCCCTTACGCAGGTAGGAAAATAATGACACAGTAATTAAAAAGGAGAAGGCATTTTATTTCTTCTTTCTTAGGCCCAAATGCATTTGCAGAACTTAATCCCCACCCCCATGCACAGTGCCTTGGTTTTAAAATAAATGAGCTTCAGGCTCATTCTTAAAAGAGGGGGGCGAGGAGTAAAACAGCCACAGAAATGAAGGATAGCACCTTTTATTAGAGACATAGCTTGCCTTAAAAACTACAATTGCTGCAAGTTCCTCTTCCACACAACAGTTAAATGGTACAGGAGCCTTGGCCTCCATTTCATGGAGCCACTGTATGGCGCAGTGGATAGATGCTCCAGAGTCTTAGGTTCAAATCTCCACTGAGCCTCAGGAACTCACCGGGAGTTGGCAATAATAAACCACTTCTCAATCATCCTACTTATTTTAATAATCCTATTAAGTTAGCAATATGTTGGAAGTGATTTGAGAGCACATAAAATGAACAATCCATGTAGTAGAGAGAAAGAATACCCAACTGTCCAATCACCATATGTCCATATTGTCTTCCTTTGTCAGTGACAAATTTGTTGTTATGGTCTGCCAAGGTGCTTCCGACTGATGGCGACCCTATGAATGAGCAAGTTCTAAAGTGTCCTGTTCTCTTGTAAACTCAACTCCATTGTTTCCTTTAGGGAGTCGGTCCATTTCATATTTGGTCTTCCTCTCTTCCTGCTTCCTTCAACCATGCCCAGCATTGTTCTCTTTTACGGTGAATCCTGCCTTCTCATGGTGTGCCCAAAGTAGGGCAGCCTCATTTTCGACACTTTTGCCTTCAAGAGATAGTTCAGGGTACCAGCCCACAAACAGGGGACTGTCGGTGCATGAAAAACATCTGGAAGTGTGCCTTAAAAAAAAAAACCCAAACCAAAACAACAATGCCCCCATCCCCTAGTACAGTATGAGGAAATGTAAAAATCCCATGACTTCCCATTTTTCTGGAGGCGAAACCTCCTGTTTCCTTTTAACATTTCTTTTCTCGCTTCCAGAGACAGGTGTGGCAGCTTCCCAGAAAACCACAGAGCAGCCTAGGGCTTAGACCCCAGCACATCGCATGACCAAGCAGAAGCAGAACAGCAGCAATCAAAGGGGGTTCGTGTTCTTTATAAACCAACTGGGCTCTTATGTCTTGTGGAAGCCTCCTTCTGTAAAATAACAGCCACCGGACTATTTTTTTTTCTTTTTTTAAAAAAAATCCCCTTGCCTGTTCGAATGACGCGCACCGTCCCCCTACTGCAGGTGCTGGCGGTGGGGAGGCGGCGGGATGGTGCTGGAGAAAGTAGCACAGGGCGGTCCTGAAACATAGATGATCTTGACACTGAGGAAGGAATTGGGGCCGAGGCTTCATCGGAAAGAAAAAACGGGCAAGCCCACCCTAATCACCGTTCAAATCGGGCACTGCGAGGGCATGGCCCTCCCCATGCCCCTGTTTAGCCCGCTTCTTGTGAGTTTCGTGGCACGTAGAAACTTTGGTTTGCTCACTCTGCTTTCCCCTTACCTTGCGGCCAAAGCAAAGCAGCAATTGTATTTTTACTCGGAGACCTGATTTATTAAGATCAAGACTTGCTTCGTAGGCTACTACCTTCTCTGCCTTTATTGCTGCCAGGCAGGCAAGACGGCAGAGAGACGCAGGTTTCTGTCCAAGTACGGGCGCCCCAAGTATGTTTCGTTCGCTTTCTCCGCTTCTTATACTTTGTTTCGCTTTCTCTGTGTGTGTGTGGTTTTTTTTTAATCTGTTGTCGCGTCTCCGACCAGGGAGACGAAAAATGGCGCCCAAACTCACCCCGGAAACTGGATACTATGTGTCAGTCTATTTTTTAATACACTTTTTTTTTACAAAGTCTATGCCGCCTCTCCCACGCTTATCCCTGCGCTTCCCTGGAGAGCGCGGCGCGGTGCGGCGGGAGAGCGCGCTCCTATCCTGCCTTGGCTTGTCTGGGGCTGGGCACGCGCGTGGGCACGCACTCGAGAAGGGCCCCGAGGCGCGTCCCCGCCGCTTGTCAGCCTCCGGCCCGGGGTTCCCTCGCCGTTCCCGGCCTTAAGTTGCAAGAAAGGGAGGGCAACATGGCGCTCGTGCCCTGTCAGGTGCTGCGCGTCGCCATCCTCCTCTCTTACTTCTCCATCCTGTGCAATTACAAGGCCATCGATATGCCCGCGCACCAGACCTACGGAGGCAGCTGGAAATTCCTGACATTCATTAACCTGGTAAGTCCGCTAGCCCGACGCCCTCCCCCCACCGCCGCCGCCGCCTCCTTCCTCCTCCTCCTCCCTTTTGAGGATGCGCTCCCATCCTTCAAGCTGCCTCTTCCTGCGGCGGGCGCGCCTGAGAAAGGAAGAAGGGAAAAATACAGTTTGTTAGAATTGGTAAATTGTTCTTGTTCATCTGAGATGAAAAGAGAGGAGGCAAATATTGGGCTAGTACCTATGACATAATGTTTAATGCGTATCAATGAAGTATGTACATGACTGGGCAAAATATAATATCAATATGACAACAGTCACTTTGATCTGGTAAATATGGTAATAAATGAATTACCCCTTACTTCTTTAAGCTGCATCACAGAAAAATCCTGTGGGTATACATAGAAGAAATGATGATGATGATGATGATGATGATGATGATGATGATGATGATGATGATGATGGTAAATATTAATTCTTGCTGTATTCAATGAAGTTTGCTCCCAGGAAAGTGTGTACAGGACAGTTTCCTTAATATTCTCAGTGATGTATGTCAGCCTCATAATTACTTCTACATTTTATAGCCCTGAAAAAGGACCATTCTAATGCTACTGCAAAACATCTGCATAGATGCCATCATAGACATTACTTCATAAATGTGAATTCTAGATGCTCTAAAATATATTAATAATAGCAATAACAATAACAATAACAATAATAAAACCACTTATAATAAACCATTTGTTTTAATGAAAGTTTCTATCTATCTCCTGCTTGTAACGTGAATTGCAGAAAATAGCCTCCTCAGAGCACACGTTTATGATTGCAGTGGGTGGTTTTTTCACAGGCGTAAAGCTTTTTTATATATTGGTATTTAAACATTGATCCAAGATAAATTTTCCAAGTACAGTTCCCATTTGTTGGGGCTGTGGTATCAGTTGAGAAATTTGGAATTCAATAAGTGGTGGTGTAATCATCAGCATGCTAGATAGCTCCGTGATTTCGGTCTCTGGCTGTTGAGCCAGAGGTTGGGATGTGATTCGCCGCTGGGCCTCCTTGACAGGAGCTGCATCAGGGTCCCTTCCGGCTCTGCCATTTTAAGATGATGATTACTATACTGTATACTGAAAATGTTCAAAGGTAAACATCCCTGAGACAGGTCCTGCAGGAAAACACTTAATTCAGTGAAAAAAGTGGTTTATTATTTAAAATTGCAGACTATATAGATAGATTCACTACTGCTATAAAGACAAACCTTTGTAACTATTTTTAGATGCCTTTCCTGTCCTGCCTCTGTTTCCCTGTAGGGAAAGCTGTATGATGTCACTATCCCCATAGACCACAGTAGCTTTAGTTCCTTATCCCAGCATGCCGTGCCCAATTGCAGGATCAGCTGAGGATGTTGCAGTTAAATGACTGGAGTAATCTTCAGCATTTCTACACATTGTAAACTACATGTTGTAACCTAAGACCTGCACACTTAAAATCATTTAGGCTGCAGTCTCCATGTTGGAACTGAATTTGTAGACTTAATGGCTACAGTAAGTGCCCTGATTTGGGCAGTGTTTTGCCTTTTTTCTCCATTCCCTTGTTTTTTTTATATGGCATAACCAGATGAAAAGTTCTGGGAAACTCTTGCATACTCTTAATGGCATTTTGGTTGACCCCAATAACAAGTATTGGTACCGTTTGATGTTCCTTCTGTGCCTCGTCCATTTATTGAGGAAAGGACAGCCCACACTAACGAACCCTCACACCAACCATGGATCTTTTTGTTGTTATTTTCCTGTGAGCCAGAAGGGCAATGTGTGTGTCAGTGTTTCTTTGTCTCTTTTCTTTGCTCCATTTGTTTTTAATGAAAGTTTCTGAAATCCTTTGGCTAATCTGTTTCAGTATGGTATCATTTAAGATTTGTTGTGTCTAGGTGATACTTAACAGACTAAACTTTATTTTAACCATTGGTAGATTCAGATTCAAAGAAGCCCCTTTGGTACCTTGGAGCCTCATTACATGGTCTCTTACCCCCTTTTGACGTAGGGTTACTCCTTCCAGGGTTTCTTAGGTAGAGTATACTTAGAAGTGGTTTAACACTACCTAGTTTTGGAGGGTGTCCAAACTTACAAAGTCTGCCTTTTTTTGGCAGGAGGCACAGTGGGGAGATGAGCTCCCAGCTCCTCTGGCTCTACAGCCAGATACCTAACTCACTGAGCTATCCAGTCAGCACTCAAAAAGGCTCTGATATTTGTGCTTCCAATTTCACTTTGAAAGGGACTGCCCTTTTGGAAGAAGCAAAGATTCATCAGTATGTTTCATACAGTTAGTTACTCTCCCATGTAATGCTCTTGTGTTTATATGAAATGGATGCAAACAATATAAATAGGATATGGGCTGTGAATGTATTAATTATTGTATATCAGGATATCATGTTAACTTACAATACATGTTTACAATTGAGCTTAGAAGGAATGAGTTGCAAATACATTGTTCCTATTGAAGGAATTTTTATAATAATCATCATAATCTTGGAACTGCAGAGGTAGAAGTCAATGAATGTGGCTAAATCATTTTCATTAGCAGAGCAGAAAATACAAAAACACAAGCAGCTGCATCTTTTGAAAGAGAATACCTAAAAAATCCACCCGCCCCTTTTGTTTTTTCACAATTAAACCAGCCCTTTGCATATAAAAAAAAACACTCTATAAGCAGCTTAAGTAGAAGAGAATATCTTTACTTACAGTTGATATTCAGTTACAGTCAGAAGAGTAAAAGGATAAAATGGGGAGATTTCTCAACCATGTGGAAGAGGGAGAAATCCATTCAAGTGCATAGTCTGAAAGTCAGGAAGCAGAGCTTTTACATGTCTACTTAGGTCAAAAGTCAGAAAGGAAAAGAGAGAGCAAACAAACAAAAAAGTTGGAAGCAAACAAATAGGAAGTGGGGGAGGGCTTGTCTCAAGCCCAGAAAAAAATGATTTTGCTAATTGATTAGTGGCAGAAGGCAGTCACCTTAGTTTTTCAAAGAAAAATCTCCCTCCTCCCACTGAAACTTATCACCAGGCTGCATACAAAATTGTTAATTCCTCCAACAGTTCTTTGGTCCCAACTTCTTTTTCCTGTAACTAAGGTATAACGGCAGTACTTCAAAAGTACCACTATTGGACATGGGTATCATCTCAATAATTTTAGAAGGAGGTTTTGATGCTATGCTTTTTGCTGTTTTATTGTAGGCATTGTGACAGGAGTGAAGTGAACAAGACGAAAGCATCTAGTGATTTTTAGCATTCAGTTGTGGCTTTTTTAAAATAACAAAAATTAGTTGTTTTTGAGAAAAAGGAAAGCAAAAATTGCAGTGGGCTTCTTTTGTTACTGGTGCACAAGAGATACAACAAACAGAAGAGGCACACTCTCACCCATGTTGAGTGAATAGGTAAGAATAAAGACCCTAACCTGCTCTGTGTTCCTATTTCCCTTCAGTAAATGTTTTCTCTGTTTATTTCCCACTGACCTTTCTTACTTCAGGTGTCAGCTAGGGATCGGATTTTCATTTTAAAATAAAAGGAGAAAAACATAAAAGAGAATTCAAAATTTGCTTTTGGGTTCTTTTCCCAGTTCCTGAAAGAGAGCTTCTTAAACATAAAGGACTCATTGAAGCAAAAGAGGAGTGCATGAAAATGTGTTTTTGGATGTTTCAGGAAACATTTCCTGAAATCAAAAAACAGGAAAGTTTTAGGTGTTGGAAAGTTTTAGGGGTAGGATCATACTTCCGCACTATTAGGGAGCAGCCTTGGTAGGTGAGGCTCGTCAGCCTAGGAAGGCAGCCCATCTAGGAGAAGGAAAACTCTGATTTCAAACCTCCACTGCCTTGTGTCTATATCCACTGATGGAAAAGGCTTCAGGAGTTAACCTCGAGGCAAAATCGGGAGCCAGAGTCCCCGAGGCAGTTCATGTCGTTCTGGCAACTCCTGCGACGTAGCTAGAACCAGTTGTATTGGGCCTTGCCTTTCCATTGGACTATTTCAGCAATGTAGAGGGGGGGATTTGCTGCTTGGGTAACAGCCTATCCTCCATATTATTTTACCCAGGCCTCATGCTCTGGAGAGGACACTCCAGCTTTGCATATAGCGTCGAAACAACACGGGAAGTAGCAGTTACCAGTTACAGTGGGGTCTCTACTTAAGAACGTCCCTACTTAAGAACAATCCAACTTAAGAACAGCTCCGTTTGCTAAATTTTGCTTCTACTTGAGAACAGAAATCCAAGATAAGAACAGGAAAAAAAACACCTTTCCTGCTATTTTTTTAACCTTAGGTCATCTTAGGTTAAAAAAAATTCTCCCCCTAGTTACTACTACTACTACTACTACTACTACTACTACTACTACTACTACTACTACTACTACTACTACTACTACTACTACTACTACTACTACTACTACTACTACTACTACTACTACTACTACTACTACTACTACTACTACTACTACTACTACTACTACTACTACTACTACTACTACTACTACTACTACTACTACTACTACTACTACTACTACTACTACTACTACTACTACTACTACTACTACTACTACTACTACTACTACTACTACTACTACTACTACTACTACTACTACTACTACTACTACTACTACTACTACTACTACTACTACTACTACTACTACTACTACTACTACTACTACTACTACTACTACTACTACTACTACTACTACTACTACTACTACTACTACTACTACTACTACTACTACTACTACTACTACTTCTGGCAGGGAAAACCATTGAATGACACCAGGGAATATGTTGTTGGCTTTGCAGTCAGAAATACTCTCCTGAGATCCATTGTTCCACCTACTGTGGGGAGTGAAAGAATCCTGTCTCTGCAGCTCCACTCATCAGCGGGACTGGTCACCCTCATTAGTGCATATGCACCAACACTATCATCTACAACAGAAGTCAAAGACAAACTCTACGACGATCTGGCAGCTACTATAAAAAAATCCCTGAGAGAGAGCCG